GGTTGTTAACCAATGTCATAAAACAACATGTGTACTACTGTTTCATGAGAAACTATTTGTTCTGTAAGCCTTCACCTGAAGTACAATAAAATATAAAAAACAAAAAAACATGTTTTTATTTGAAGTAAAAGTGTAATGTGAGGAATGATTTAATCCCTCATGTAGTTTACATTATTATTTAATATGTTGAACTTTCAAATTCTTCATTTAGGGAAATAGCAGTAATTAAGAATATTGTTTAGGTATTTGTTTCAATCCTTCGCTTGATTTTTAAATGAATCTTAATACAAACGAATACTTGAGTAGCTGTGTTTTGATTAATTATTAATCTTGAACTATTAGATCTTCATAGATTGGATAAATTGATGATAAATTCTTTATAAATGATAATTGATATAAAATTGATAATAAATTCTGTATAAAAGTTTCTGGTACAAATGTTTCTCCCCTATCCTAATTTGATGCTGCAGATAGGGTGACCAACTTGTCCTGGTTTGCCAGGTATTTTCTTGATTTTAGCACTGAAAGTCGCACATCATGGGAAACTCCTCAGTCCTGGGCAAACCAGGATGGTTGTTCACCCTGGCTACAGACAGAGATCAATTTTTTTTTTTAACTTAGAGATACTATAAATCAAGATTCTTTTTATTTTTAGGGAAGCCAGTGGATGAGGGCTTAAGTAAAAAGGCCGAAGTACCATTGTCATGTTGTTGTACATGCCATTCGAAGAATTTTACTAACAATGACCTTATGAACCAAGGAACGTCACGCCATTTCAGTAGTCCAAGTACACTACCTTCTGAAAGAAATATGACTTCATTAGCTTCTCAAGGTAATTTATATTTTGCTTGATGCTGTTGGTATCTGTAATAGGAGCCTTAATTATTGCTGTTATTTAGGTAAATTAGGTTAGTTACAATTGATTATGTATCTCTAGCTAATTTCTCTGGAATTATTTGAAAACAACACCTAAAGTGGTCAGAAACCCTTGGACTGTTTTATTCGTAGTTTGACTTAATTTATGTGGATTTTTTTTTAAGAAGACAAGGCAAAATAAATAATATTTAGAAATCAATGTTGTATGTAGCCAGTATTGTTAATTATATGTTAGAATCTTATAAAACATCTTGATTTGTAGCTTAAGACAAAATCAAATTAACCTCATTCATTTATTCATGATAAAGTTTGCCTGACTTTCTGAGGCCAGTATCCTATATGAAGATCAAGTGAGTTTTAAGTATCCTTAAGTAGTTCTTAATAGATTTATTTAAGAGAAATATATTAAGAATAACATATGATTTTGTATGGTTTTTATCTTTCTTCTGTCTTTGACTATATGGAAAGGATTAACCATTATTTGCCTAAGCCAGAAACCTAGGGAGACATCCTGGACACTTTGTTCTTCCTTAATCCTTCATGCGAGTCTCTATCTCCATTGATACTGCCCTAGCCCAAGCTAGCATCATCTCTTGTTTAGAGCATACAGTCACTTCTTCTCCTGCATTCATTCATGCCATTCCTTAACTAATCAGTGGCAGGGAGAAAGAGATGGCCATGACTGGTTTAAGTATAAACAGTATCCACTTCCTAATATCAAGGATGGAATCAGCACATGACTGTGTGGAAGAAGGTATGCTTGAACTAAAGTGAAGTTCTATTAGGAATGAGGAAGAGGAGAAAGAATAGATCGATGAGGGATAGGTGATCAATAGTGTTTTCTACGCTGTGTTGGACCTCAGTCCTTTTAGCTTTCTTTCAGTTCCTTCCTTTCTCCTGCATAAGAGCCTTTGCTTATATTAGTCTCGCTTCTGAGCAGAGTTCCATCTTCAACTTGTTATCCTACTCTTTCTTTAAATTCAGCTTAAATGTCACTTTCTTGGAGGTACCAACCCTCACCTTCCACCACACTAGATTTGATCTCCCTATTTTACACTGTCATCTTACTTTGTACCTCTCTTTCATAGCACTTGTCACAGTTTGTATTATCCAAGTGTCTGTGTGCATCTTTTATTAATCTCTGCTTCCTCTAGAAGACTATATACTCCACAAGGTCAGGGGCTAATAAGATATAACCCACATACAAAAGAGTACACAAATCCTAAGTGTTTATAGCTTAATGAATTTTCACAAAGTGAACACACTTGTGTAACTAATACCTTTTCAATGGCTGATTTTTTTTTTTGGAAGTAGATAACCGAGACTTTCTTCTGAGGTGCCTCTGAGTGGACCAGAACCTCCAGCTTTTCAGTTAGCAGCAGAATGCATTAACCATTTGCACCATCCAGAGATTCTGAAGTTCTTGTTAGCACTTGATATTTTCAGTCCTTTTAATTTTAGCTATTCTTCAGGTGTGGTGTTCTTGTTGAGTTTTACTTGACATTTCTCTGGTTACTAATGAGGTTGGGCATCTTTTTATATGTTTATTGGCCATTTTAATATCCTCTTTAGTGAAATGACTATTCGTGTTGTTTGCCAATTTTTCTATTGGGTTGTTTCTTACTGATTTCCTGGAGTTTTTTTTAATTTTAGTTTGAATGTTTCTCATTTCTTTTAATTTTGTGTCTTAAGGACTTCTTGATTGTACTTCCTGAAAGTTTCCCTGCTGTAAAGAAAGGAAGATACGCCTTTTTGTATATACAAATAATATGATTTTTGTTCTTATGAATTCAAGATAGTCATATTTGGCATATGGCAGTTCACTTTTTCTAAAACTAAATTATCATTTAGGGTAGATGTTCTCTACCTTTTAATGAGCCAACAAACCCATACAAGTTAGCCTTAATTTATTTGGGACAGGATTTCTCAACAGTGGCACTATTGACATTTTGAGTGGAATAATTCTTTGTTGTGGGGGCTATCCTGTGCATATAGGATGTTTAGGAGCATCCCTGGTGTCTTAGTCATCTAGTGCTGCTATAACAGAAATACCACAAGTGGATGGCTTTAGCAAAGAGAAATTTATTCTCTCACAGTCTAGTAGGCTACAAGTCCAAATTCAGGGAGTCACCTCCAGGGGAAGGCTTTCTCTCTCTGTTGGCTCTGGAGGAGGGTCCTTGTCATCAATCTTCCCTTGATCTAGGAGCTTCTCTGTACAGGAACCTCAGGTCCAAAGGATGCACTCTGCTCCCAGCACTGCTTTCTTGGTGGTGTGAAGTCCCCCTGTGTCTCTGCTCGCTTCTCTCTTTTATATCTCAAAACAGATAGGCTTAAGACACAATCTAATCTTGCAGATCTCATCGACATAACTGCCGCTAATCCATCTCATCAACATCATAGAGAGGGGATTTACAACACATAGGAAAATCATGCCAGATGACAAAATGGTGGACAATTACACAATACTGGGACTCATGGCCCCGCTAAGTTGACAGATATTTTTGGGAGACATAATTCAATCCATGACACCTGGCCTCTACTCACCAAATGCCAGTAGCACTCTCCCATTCTATTTGTGACAACCAAAAACATCTCCAGACACATTGCCAAGTGTCCCCTGGCATAGTATGCGTGTGTTATCATTGTCCCAGTTGAGAATTACTGATACAGGTTTGGTGATTATTTTACCAGGCTAGCTCAAAATTTACCAGAGCTCAAAATTACATGTTTTATCTAAGACATACATATATGTGTATATATACGTATGTATGTGTGTGTATATATATATATATACGTATATATTTGTTGTTGTTAGTGCTGTCGAGTCGATTCCGACTCATAGCAACCCTATAGGACAGAGTAGAGCTTCCCCATAGGGTTTCCAAGGAGTGGCTGGTGGATTTGAACTGCCAATCTTTTGGTTAGCAGCTGAGCTCTTACCCACTACGCCACCAGGGCTCGTGTGTGTGTGTGTGTGATACTTTTGAAGAAACAGATCAAGGTCAGAGGACTTGATCTACCAGATATCCTGCATCCTACCAGATAGCTACCAGATAAAGCTGTAGTAACTATGACTGTCCAACCTTAGCACAGTGATAGACCAATGGAATAGGGTAGAAGATCTAAACATCACATATGTATTCAGAAACTTGATTTTCTAAAATAGAAGTTCCACCACAGAGCAGAAGGATAAGGAAGGACTTTTCCGTTAAGTGGTGCTGGGACTATTGGATGTCCATACAGAAAAATTGAAATTGGAGCCATATTTTGTACCATACACAAAATACACTCCAGGTGGATTAAAGACCTAGGTATGAAAGGCAAGCTATTAAGATTTTTAGGAGGTATTATAGGAGAGTATAGTGGTTTTCAAACTATGTTCTTTAGAGCCTTAGGAAGGCACATGGCTTGTTGGGGGCGAGGGGCAGTGGAACAGGGAAGTTCTAGGTCCGTTATTCCTATTTTGGAAATTTTAAGCAATATTTCTTAAAAAAGAATCGTCTTCCTCTTAAAAGTTTTAAAACTTTTAAAAGTTTAAAACCAGAGCTTGTATGGCATAGATTCATTTCTGTGTTTGTGCAAACCCAAACTTGTCTTTTGAAAACAGTATAGTACTTGCTTGTAGGTCTTTCTCCCTTGATCATCTGTTAATCCTTTAGGGGCAGGGTCTGTTTCTTTTTCACTGTTTTCCCTTGGTTTCTGGCCATTGTTTGGACTCACTATAATAAATGTTAAATTAATTCAATCTATGGGAGTGGGGAGAACATACAGAGAAGAGGAGAGGAAAAGGAAGGTACCTTGAAGAATACTCACATTTAGAGAAAGGGAGAAACCAACTAATAGGAATAGTTAAGAACAGTGTTAAAGACATTAAGGACAAACGAAATCTGTTTGAACACAGGATTCTATGTTTGGCTGTATGCCTAGAGGTTATGCTATGGACTTCGGAGTTAGACTGCAGGAGTTAGTCATGTTTAGGCTGGGCCACTTACTAACTATGATATTGGGCAAGGTATTTGACTTTTTTAAAACCTAGGATTCATATTTGTAAAATGTGGGTAATTAATATTATTTTATGATTCAGAGTTCATTGATGACCATTGTCTTAGTTATCTAGTGCTGCTATAACAGAAATACCACAAGTGGATGGCTTTAACAAAGAAAAGTTTATTTCCTCACAGTAAAGTAGGCTAAAAGTTCAAATTCAGGACGTCATCTCCAGGGGAAGACTTTCTCTCTCTGTCGGCCTTCCCCCAGACTAGGAGCTTTTCCGTGCAGGGACCCTGGGTCCAAAGGACGTGGTGTGCTCCTGGCACTGCTTTCTTGGTGATATGAGGTCCTCCTGTCTCTCTGCTCACTTCTCTCTTTTATATCTCAAGAGATTGCCTCAAGACACAATCCAATCTTGTAGATTGAGTCCTGCCTCACTAACACAACTGCTGCCCGTCCTTCCTCATTAACATCATAGAGGCAGGATTTACAACATATAGGAAAATCACACAGTACTAGGAATCATGGCCCAGCCATATTGATACACACATTTTTGGGGGGACATAACTGAATCCATGACAACCTTGAGAATGAACTTTCAGGATTGTGGGATTAATAAACAAATTATGGGAGCTTATTTCTACTGTATTTTTAGCCTAAAGAACATTAAGATTAGTAGGAAAGGAACATCGAGACATTGTAAAGAAAGATTTTTATATAAATGGAAGTACATTTTCTTGAAAGAATTTTTTAATTTATATTTATTAAACCATGATATTGGTATTGGTATGTCTACAAAAGCATAAATCTATTTAAAAAAAATAAAAATTGGGCTTTTCCTATTGACAGCATATTTCTCAAAATGTTATATCTTTCTTAAGGTAATAATAGAGTGATAAAGAAGTGCTTTTAGGGAGGCGGGGCTGAGATGGCAGAGTAGTCAGATGCTTCCGGTGGACCCTCTTA